ACTGCAGTTCCACAAATGACCACTTGAGGCTGCCTCCAAATGTGAGTCAATCCCGATCGACCCAGTGGTAAAATGTCCAACTTTACAGCAGAAATCAACATGTTTACAGCCTGGCACAAACTCTATTTGGGTCTCTATGGCTAATTTCCTCATTCGTGACAACTGTACGAGGGGTAACGTTTCATCTAACTCACCTGTTTACAATTTGTTACGACTTAAAGTTGTGCAGAATTAGAGCGTTGAGTGACATTTGCGAGGTCGGCCTCGGCTCTACTGCCGCGTCTTTGCTCAAGCTTCTGAACACCTTTCAAGAAACCTGTGGGTGACTTCACAGAGGGTTCCTCCATCATTACATGGTGCTAATACCAATCCAGAGTATCGGATCCCTGTTAAAGTAAAGTTCTGCCAGCGGATGCATTTAGGCTTATTGGTGGTGCTGTGTCTTAGCAATAAATGCAAAGTTGAGTAGCCTTCTGCAGCAGTTTAGCAAGGAAAGCTGTCAATGTAAACAGGGAGGGAAAGATTTGCTTAAAAAAAGCACAACTTTGAAGGATTTAACCTCTAAAATTTCAACTTAATTTTTGTAACTGTGGGCAGCAGATAACAGTAAATACAAGCGTACTTATGCACATATGATTGATAATATCTAACCTTTAAAAAAACAAAGGATGGATGGTCAGATGGAGGGGGAGGGGCGAGGGAGGAAAAAATCCTCGCGGGGAGGAAAGGAGCGAGGGAGGAGCTGCCACCTTGACGGATTGATTGAGATTGCCCAATACGCGGCGTTGCCTACAGCCTAGATTAGCGAGAGGTCTGGGTCAGCACAATCTCTGCGTGTTAGATAACTTTCCTGCCTCGCAGCTGCGGCGTGATACTGCACCTCGCAATATTTCCACTGAATATCTTCAGATTTGAGAACCTCGCTTTTTTTGTGTGTGCGGTAGAGAGAGAGAGAGACAGACTGTGGGGCCCAGTATCCATGGCAACCCCATCCAGGTGCACTGGTTCATATGCAATTCAGGTAATTCGACCCACAATGAAAAGCATGCATATAAGGTCACTGGTATTCAAATGTGTGCTTCCTCCCCCTTCTCTCCGGACGCTGCCACGTGGCCTCCCGTGTGACCCGGTCTCAACGCCTCGACGATATTTCCACGCCGTCTGATTGAGTGCTGCGTTTAAAAATTCGACAACAATGCCGACCGAATGTACCGGGCGCGTTATTAATTCGCCCGACGTCGCGGCGCCACGCGGGGAAGACATGCCTGGCGCTTGTTACGTACACCGCCTCAGGCCGCGATTTGGATGGGGGTCATGATTTTTCATGTGGCTGTATGATTAAAAAAAAAAAACACACACACACACACACAGGAAGAGGTGCGAATGAAAAGAGGAAGAGACGAGGAGTGGAACGCGACACAGGGCTTGCTGTCGATGGGGTTTCGCAGAGTTGTGTTAAGCCAGGAGCTTTGACAGCTGGGTTTAAGGAGAGAGGAGCAGGCTATGGATTGAAGTCAGGTTTCTGCTTCATATTCCGAACAGATTAATCTCCCCATCCTCCTCCTCCTCCTCCTCCTACACCGTTTTAGACGTCTGTGGCATCATTTTTACTTGTGGGTGTTTTCAGCTGTGATTTACAGCCGAGGTCGCTCGTTGCGAAAACGTTGCAACCGGATATTTAGCGCCAGAACTCTTTAAGGACTTTTCTAGAATCGCCAGGCTCGGTGACTTCTCAGTGAATGCAATAGTGATGTAATAGAGGTGGCAGAGGGGCAGTTGGGTTGTCCATCCATCCATTATCTATACACCGCTTAATCCTCACTAGGGTCAGCTGATTTAGGGCGAAGGCAGGTTCACCTGGACAGGTCGCCAGTTTATCAAAGGGCTACACTTAGAGACAGACAACCAAGCACACTCACATTCACACCTACGGACAATTAAGAATCACCAGTTAACCTCAACATGATTTTGGACTGTGTGGGAGGAAGCCGGAGAACCCGGAGAGAACCCACGCTGCACAGGAGAACATGCAAACCCCACGCAGAAAGATCCCAGGCATCCTTACCCGGATGCAAACCAGGACCGTCTTCCTGCGAGGCAACGGTGCTAACCACCTCTCCACCTTGCAACCCTAAAGAAACATTAAAATTGATGAACTTGCAAGAATTTCAACCATTCATTTGTCCGTTTTTATGCACCAACAACACTAATCCACAGGTTCGAGCTTGTCAAAACTCAACACATTCTTGGAACAATGAGTCGACTGTGTTTTAAACTATTGTTTTTTGAAAATGTAGCATGCATTTTTCACATTTCCTGACATTTTATAGCTTAAGAAACTAATCAGCATGATTAATTAATGAAGCAATTTTTCTCCATTTTTGTTGCGGAGCTGTAATTAAAACATGGCAGGTGTGGGGAACAACTTATTACGCCGCTGCTGTTGCAATCTTTGCAATAATCAAATTATCATGTGCACATTTTTATATAACTTTCTCACGGCATATTTGAGGGAGACTATTATTTTCTAGTTTTCTACACGACGAATTAACAACAAATGCAAATGTAAACTGATTTCCCTCAGAAACAATGCAAACAACCTGAAGGTGCACTGCTTGCATGGCCAAGTGCAAATTCAGTGATAATTAATGAAACCTCTCCTCTGATGCAGGCTAATTATGTTTTGCTAAGGCTACCCTAGAAGGTGGTCATTATTAAGGGAAATCAATGTCCAATCAAGTGTAAAACATGGACTCCGGAGCCGATACAAAGGCTGCTTTGTGGTTAAAAATTCATCATATTTAACATGAGAGGGGTTAAATGATGACGTATCAGTGTATAGAAAAGTACAGAATTGAAGATTTTTGCAGGAAAAAGACAATTTCGCCGGTTTTTATGGCAAACGAGAGAAGATTGGTCGGGTCAGCAGTGCATAAGTTAACGCCGCCGCTGTAGTCAATCACTCGATAGGTGAAGATGGGTATGTTTGACATCTGTGTGTGTGTGTGTGTGCGCTTGTGTGCGCTAAGAGGCCTCCGAAATGACCTCGCACATAGAGATGATAGCCATAAATTGGTCTGAAGTCTCATTTTCCCCACAGGATTTTGACCAGCTGCCACAGCTTTTGAACCCATTTCGCTCCTACAGCCGCCGCCGACCAAGTGACAGAGTTAATGAGTACATTTTATGGCTCGAGTCAACGACCAAGGAGAGGCAAATGTAATGTGGAATCGCGAAGGCCTGCAAATAGTATAATAAGTAACACAGGATCACAGCCCCACTGTTTTCTCATTACAGTCGCAACGTGGTTCGGAGGTGCAAAGTCACTATAATTCACGATGGTTAAGACTAATTCACAGATAACTGTCTCATGTTCGAGTAACATGTGCCTAAAAAGATGAGAATGGAGCAGAGGCAGTGTGAAATCAGTGTCAAGGTGGATGGAAATAAAGAAGGATTATGCTGCCACCATGTGGATCACAGGAGCGCTGCAGTCCATGAATTATAAAACTGTATCATTCTTAATACGTTGTGGACATTTACAGAAAAGTAAAAGGCTTTATCAAGGTAAGCTAGCATCTTATTTATAATAAGTTTTGTAAATTAATTAATTTTTGAAAATGAGAAGTAGTTCTCAACTAACTTACCTGGTAAAACAAAGGTAAAATAAAACAAATAAATCTCATTTTAAAGGAATTACAGAAGCAATCTTCAAGTTAATTGAAGAAAAATAACTCAACTTTTCTTGAAATTTTGATTATATCGAGTTGTGACGGTCTCATATACAGTGTAGCCGAGTAATAAAATAAATAAATGTACACGCACAAATCAGAAACTTGGATAACTCACCAATATAATGATTAGGGGACAAATTGTGTAAAATATTAGAATCATTATTTCAAGCATTTAAGTTTGAAAAAGAAATGATTCAACAAAGAGAAGAACAGCTGGAGACTAAAATCAAAACCTGAATTGGCCCGAGGATAAAAATTAGTTGAGCTTTATTGTTTTGCATGTTGCAGTTGTTAAAACTACATTTTTCAAGTTCAATAAAACAATTAGCACCTTCAGCATCATTCAGTCATTTCAGCATGTATGATAAGTGATAAGTGGTGTCATAAAAATGAGTAAAAAGTGGATTGTGTATTTCTTGTGTCAAATACGATGCCAAAATTACTCTAATCACATCTAATTATTATCTTAAAAATGTTTTTAAAAAATACATTTGACAATAAAGATAAAAAATTAAGGCAAAAGTGTTTGGTGCACTTTAATTTTTAATATTTTTTTTTAAAGAGTTTTGAAAGAAGGGCTGTTTTATTTTTAGTTTTTTTAAACAAGATTTTGAAATCATTCAATTGTTTTTAAGGACAGAATAGGTCCACGCACAGGTTTACGTTGGCATTGAGACAGGTAATGCTTTAACTCAAGCTTTTTACCTTTTTTATCATGCCTGTGTGTTTTGTTTTTTTTAAAAAATCTATTTGCCTGAGGACACGTCAACACTGAATTACTAAATTACTACAATTTGTCAATGTGGCATTCTAAGCGTAATTTTACGGTGTTTAAACAAAGATGAGCTGGTGTGCTTGAGGTGCAGCAAGCGGCAGAGAGTGGTATGGATTTCATCGATCATAAAGGCTTAGAGTTCCATCTGAATTGTGATAAATTGCCTCAGTTTTGCTCTCTAAACTGTGTTAAATCAAAGCTAAATCCCTATTTCCTGATTTCTCAATTAAGAATCTTATTTGTATAGCACTGAACAACTTGTGTTTTTTTTTTTACTTTGTTCATACAGTACAAGTATTTTTAATCTAACAAATAAATCTATAAATAGATAAATAAGTCCATTATTTTAAGATTTAACTGCAGATTTATGATTATACAACCCCGCGCATGCTCAGATAAGTCAGAGAACGTCGTGCTTGGTCCTCGGCTATTTCCGTGCTTCCCCCGCGGTTTCCTCGGCACCTCTCGTGAGTTTCCGTCCCTCCTCGTGCCTGCTCGGCTCCTTTCGGCAGAGCAGATTTTCGCTGTCGTCGTCTCCCTCGTCCTCCTCTCCGTGTTGTTGTTCTCGGTGACGCGACGGAGGTGTAGCCTGACGCGGTCTCTTACGTGTCGGTCTGAATAAAAGTGGAGCTCCGTAGACCCGGGAGTGACGAAGCGAGTCTGTGTTGGTAAGAGGATACGCATCCGATGTTTGCTAAACAGATAGATGGCTGCCCAGAGATGTTTTTTGCGCCCAATATCCGCACAGAGCCAACAAAGAGATCATGGCGGCGGCGTTGCAGAGGCTCACAAAATGAGTCAGTCTCTGCAAGGCTCGCTGGCTCGCAACACAACTGAGACATAGGTATTAATGTGGGAGTGGGCTTGAATCTTTTTTTTTTAATGAAGTGCCTAGAAATAAGTTACAGAAGCAGTTAGCCTTATGACGCCGTTGCTAATTCACGTAAAAACCCGTGTGAAACTTGCATTGAGTGAACAAACTAGTAAGTGAAAGTGGGGTGTCCCACTTGCAAAGAAAAGTGGCTTACAATGCATGCAGACATTTCCCTCCATACAAGCTCACCGCTAGCCACCTAACGGTACCAGCCAGTGCAACATTAGCTCGTACCGCAGTCGGGTGTTAAGAAAAAAAAGCTCCAAACTGCCACACGAGTTGGTAAATTTTAGCGACTGCAACCACGATAGTTATTAAATAAACTGCCCCTGAGCTGTGCTAATATTTAATGCATTCCTGTTAGCCTGTTAGCATGCTAACCGAAGCAATGGAGCTCAACCTGCTAGCTAATGCTAAATGTAAGTTATCCACAACTTAGCTTTTCCTATGGGAGCATGTTAGGTCCTTATTATCACGTCTGCTGTGTGTTTTAAAATTATTCTAGCTAGCCAATTTCCATACGGTTTCTGCAAGGAAGCAGTTTTATAAATGAATTATATGCTAGCATGTTAAGCTAAGCCACACCCTCCTTTTTAAGGCATCAACAAGCAAGTTGTGAATGAGGCACAACCTCCATCAAAGTGTCTGCTGTCCACCTTAGATCACTTTATCCGTGTTTGTGCTGCAAGGTGCAGTTTAAAGCATGAGGTGACAGATGCAAATAAGCAGCTTTTTAAAGCAACAGCACTTTTTTTTTCAGATTTTAAATGACCATGGAGGCTGGTGCAGACACACAGCAAAGTGGTGAAACGGCTGTTTCTGAGTCTGAGGCCCAGCAGATCACACTGGCACAGGTAATCCATGCTGTCACGGTCAATTTGCACCTTGCATAATTCAGAAAATTAAAGTCATGACGATTGCTGAGGAGTTTTTTGTAACTTTGTGCCATTGGGTGTTGTTGCAGGCGTCCATAGCAGCAGGCCAGGTGACATCCAGTAGTCCCACAGTCACCCTAGTGCAGTTACCGAACGGTCAGACAGTCCAGGTGCACGGAGTGATCCAAGCTGCTCAGCCGTCTGTCATCCAGTCGCCACAAGTCCAGACAGTACAGGTGAGAAGAGGGGGGGAAAAGGCGTTTCTTTGATTCTTTTACTACAGCACATAATCTCTCTTTGCTTCATTGCACAAATTATAATCACTAAATGCTGTTTGCAAAGAGAATAACTTGCTGGAATCAACAAAATCATCACGATAGAAGCGTTGAGCTAAGCATACTGAGTTTGCTGTGCAAGAAATGGTAAAGCAGTTTCTTGAGAGCGTTGTTGAAATGAAAGCTTTCTGATGTTTACTCACTCGCAGATTTCGACCGTTGGTGAGAGCGAGGACTCTCAGGAATCCGTAGACAGTGTGACAGATTCTCAGAAGAGGAGAGAGATTCTGTCCAGACGGCCTTCTTACAGGTCTGTGTGACATCTTATTGCAAATAGAGCTCCACTATCCCGTCTTCATTGTTTTTGATCTTTTGTCTTTTGAGATTGGAAGACATTGCTGGATGCGGTTCCATTTTTATCCGCTTTTATTGCTTTTGAATACTTTAGTGTATAACTGCCAGACGGGTCACATCATTTTGGTCTATTTATATAATTGGCTATTTGTAAAACGAATGCTTACTTTTGCTGTGGTTGTTTTCCCCCTTCAGGAAGATTCTGAATGACTTGTCGTCAGATGCTCCAGCAGTGCCTCGAATTGAGGAAGAGAAGTCGGAAGATGACACAGCCCCTGCCATCACCACAGTCACCATGCCCACTCCCATCTATCAGACCAGCAGCGGCCAGTACAGTAAGTACTTTGTGCGACAGGAAGTTGGTGGTTTCTGTTGAAGTATGTCTGCGTTACTGCAAGTAAATGAAAACCTCGATAAGCAGTTTTCAATTGAGCCTACACTTTTTTTGTGTTTCGTCACACCAAGAATGATTTATCAACAAAATGAGTCGCAGTTTATTTGACTTTGTCACGCTTGAAGCAGTGCACTATAAAAAATAAAAAAAACAGGAGAGTGCACTTTGACACTTCAGTTTACTCGCCTCTGATGCGCCGGATGTGGAGATCGACACATCTGACAATCACTCTTAACATCCAGTGGTGTCCCTTTGCAGTTGCCATTACCCAAGGCGGGGCCATTCAGCTGGCCAATAACGGCACAGATGGAGTGCAGGGCCTACAGACGCTCACCATGGCCAACGCCGCCGCAGCCCAGCCCGGCGCCACCATCCTACAGTACGCTCAGACCAGTGACGGGCAGCAGATCCTAGTGCCCAGCAACCAAGTGGTTGTACAAGGTAGGAAATGAACGAGTTTGGCAATACAGTAGCAGCAAACACACAGGTTGTTTTTTAAAATTTGCATCCGTTTAACAGTGGTGGAGTGTAGCTTAGTGCAAGTGCTGTGCTTGCATACAGATTTGAGCTGCTTCACATTCTCCACCTGGCAGCTTTCATAACTGTGCAAGTTAAAACATTGGCACACAAAACATTACATTTGAGCCTATAAAATATGATTCTTTGGTCTAAATTAAACCGCCCAGCAGCTTCCACAAGCATGATGAGCTCATTAGTCAGCTAGTTTTTTCAATTTCTTTCCAAACATCATCAGTAGATTAATCCACAATGAAAATATTTATTCAATCCATCCAAAAAAAAGTTCAAAATGAGCTCCACCTCAACCAGCTACGACAGTAAAACCCTGCTTTAGCAAGAATGCATGAGTAATAACAGTGTAAGGATTCAGTATAAGCAGTCACAGGGGACATATTCCTCCAATGAGGGCTTTTACTTTATACTTAAGGATGTCAATACTTCTCCCGCCACTGCTGCTTAATAAAACAAAGCGTCGCGTCTCTGTCCGTCAGCTGCCTCTGGTGACGTCCAGGCCTATCAGATCCGCACAGCCCCCACCAGCACCATCACTCCCGGGGTCGTCATGGCAACCTCGCCTGCGCTAGGCGCCACCGGAGCCACCGAGGAAGTCACGCGCAAAAGGGAGGTCCGACTGATGAAAAACAGGTAAGCGTGCTGCTTCAAAACTGTCGTGGAAGATTTATGGCCACGTGTCTGGGAGGTATGTGGTTCTGTGATGGGCGTGCAGGTAGAACTTAGCAAAACACTTCTCAGAGAAGAGGCAGAGTCATGTTGAGTGAACTTTCTTTTCTGGGGCAGCGAGAGGAAAACATTTGGGAAGGTGTAGCACTGAGATGTGGGCCTGTCGAGACACTTTCACGCCTAATTACAGCAACTTGATCACCTCTGTGGGCTTCACAGGGGCTGCGGCTGCACGCTGGCGGTGTTCGGTCTCGCACACTCGCAACAGAAAATGAGTCATGTGGGGTTTTTTGTGTGTCAGTGTGTTAATGCATTTTAGTCAATTCTGTCTATTTAACACTTGTGCTGTTCAGAATTTTTGATTCATCTGCCTCTGGTGCTTTCTCATTGCATTTGTTTTTTAATATAATTTTCTCCGCCCCTGTTTTATTCAGTAATACATTTTAACAAAGCTGTTTAGAGGAAGTTTTTTTTCCTTCTGTTCTGCTGCAACTTTCGCAATTAACCCTCAGAACTCCAAGCAGTTTCTGGGTGTTTGTTTTCGCTGCTGCCACGTTTTCCTTCATTGTCAAAAAATGTCGTCAGTGCAGTATGACACAGTTATGCCATAAGTCAGTCCAACTGTTTCAGAGTTTTTTGCCATGTGACAGTTGATATGGGAGCGCTAATGGCAGTTGGATTGCAGAGGAGCAGAGAATGAGACGATGAGAATTCTGTGATTTTGATGAAACATCACAAGCTTAAGCTTCGATTTGGTAAAATTTTTCCAAAGAAACACGACACGTGATGCGTTCCAAGACCAGTTAATATGCAAGTTCAAGTGGTTGAATTCGTGTGAGTGAATGATGATCATTAGGCTGTTTTGGTGTCGCTTGGACCGGTGCAGGTCGCTGCAGCGTTATCCATTGTGATGGAAAGTAGTGCTTTCATTGCTTTTGTTGCCCAAGAAGTCTGTCCCTGTCGGATGCTATTTAGCTGTTGTGCGTTCTAAAGATGAAGTGGTTTGTAGCTGATCATTTTAAAAACAGAAAGAGGAAGCAGAGAGGCTCTGACTCAGACACACCTGATGATCAGAGTGCAGGCAGCCAGACACTCAATGACTGGCTAACACAGTCGTAGGGCTGCAGAACTAAATGAATATTAATTGCAAAATTGACAGACTGCAAGGTGGCTCGGTGGTTAGCATTGCAAGAGCAAGAAGGTCGCTGGTTCGCGTCCCGGTGAGTACACCCGGGATCCTTCTGTTTGCATGTTCTCCCAATGCAGCGTGGGTTCTCTCCAGGTTCTCTGGCTTCCTCCCACAGCCCAAAAACATGTTGAGGTTAATTGGTGATTCTAAATTGTCCGTAGGTGTGAATGTGAGTGGTTGTCTGTCTCTAAGTGTAGCCCTGTGATAGACT